TTGGAACAACGTGAATCTGACCGTGAATCTGCAAGAAAGTAAATAACACAATATGTATCATGGTTCATCCCAATGTTTAGGCTACGTCCACACTGATTATTATATTTCTCTGAAAGGATTGTGAAAGAGAGCTCTGAATATGAAAGTGAGAGTTTTGAGAGAGCTTAGAGCTTAGGGGATGTGAGGAGGCTCTCCGTAATTGTGAGCGTGAGGGGTCCTTTTATAGAATAAGGGCTCCTCACTTATTACATATTTGCCCCTTCCTTTATTACATAATTACATTTAAGTCCCCCGAGTATTTATACAAGGTCTATAATACGGAGGCCCTAATTATGGTATAAACAGTAGTCCCCCAAGTCTTCAGTCAAGAGAGTGTTTTGGCTGGAGACTTCAAATTCAATCCATGTGTAGACCGAAGTAACTAGATGTCGTCTAGAACTGATACTCGATATGAGGCGGTGCCCAATCTGAAATAATGCTCAACTAGAAGTAGCATATGTTGCGAGGCTGCTCTGCTTGTGGCTTATGTTGCCTTGGTTGGCTCGGCTTGTGGCGTTTGAAGGCGAGGGAGTCCCTTTTATATAGTAAGGGCTCGCTCCTCAATACATAAATATGGGCTAGAGTTGATGCTCGCGGCGAGACAGTTGCTCAGTAGGCGACGATGCTCTCTAATGATGGTGAGGGATTCCCTTTTATAGAATAATGGCTTACTCCTCAATACATGAATAACGGGCTATAATTGATGCTCTTTAATGATGGTGAGGGAGTCCCTTTTATAGAATAAGGGCTCGCTCCTTAATACATGAATAATGGGCTAAAGTCCCCCAAGTATTTTTCATGAGGCCAGGACCCTTCACCCTCACAATTAAGGAGAGCCTCCTCACATCCCCTAAGCTCTAAGCTCTCTCAAAGCTCTCACTCTCATATTCAGAGCTCTCTCTCCCTCAGAAATATAATATCAGTGTGGACGTAGCCCAAATCTTGGGGTGAACCACGATACATCTTGTGTTATTTACTTTCTTGCAGATTCACGGTCGGATACCATACTTAGGGCATCCGTATTTAGATCTCGTATAAATACTCGGGGGACTTAAATGTAATTATGTAATAAAGGAATTGGCAAATATGTAATAAGTGAGGAGCCATTATTATATAAACGAACCCCTCACCCTCACAATTAGGAAGAGCCTCCTCACATCTCCTAAGCTCTAAGCTCTCTCAAAGCTCTCACTTTCATATTCATAGCTCTCTCTCACAATCCTCTCAGAGAAATACAATAATCAGTGTGGACGTAGCCTAAACATTGGGGTGAACCACGATACATCTTGTGTTATTTACTTTCTTGCAGATTCACGGTCGGAATTACGTTGTTCCAAGACCTCCGGTTTTGTGCATCAACAAGGGTTAAGGAGTGTAGCTGTAAAAAATCATCAAAATCGGAGTTAAAATAACAGTTAAATTGTGATTTTTCGTTGATAATCGTCGAAAAATTTTGTCCCGTTACTTGATCTTTGAATGTTTCTTTTTTGCAATTTTTGGCATATACGATCTTGAGGCATATACAAACAAGTTTGACAGTTGGATCTTTAAAATTAGTTTCATAGAATGTGTATCCCATCAAAACAATAGATTCACTAACACTTAAAGTTTATTTATACTTTCATTAAGTATAACATAAGATTTTGTGGTATCCACTAGTGTAAATATTTTAAATTGAAGATCAAATTCATTCATTGTATTCATATAGGGTCAAGGAGTGTAGCTGTAAAAAATCATCAAAATCGGAGTTAAAATAATCGTTAAATCATGATTTTTCGTTTATAATTGTCAAAAAGTTTTATCTCATTACTTGATCTCTGAATGTTTGTTTTTTGCAATTTTTGGCGTATGCGATCTCGAAGTATATACAAACATGTTTGACGGTTTGATTGTTTAAACTAGTTTCATAAAATGCGTATCTCATCAAAACAATAGATTCACTAACACTTTAAGAGTTTATTCATACTTTCATTAAGTATAACATAAGATTTTGTGGTATCCACTAGTTTAAATATTTTAAATTGAAGATCGAGTTCATTTATTGTATTCATTGCATTCATTGTATTCATTGACAGTTGGATCATTGAAATTAGTTTCATAGAATGCATATCTCATCAAAACGGTAGATTCACTAACATTCAAGATTTATTCATACTTTTATTAAGTATAACATAAGATTTTGTGGTATCCACTAGTGTAAATATTTTAAATTGAAGATCGAGTTCCTTCATTGTATTTATATAGAGTCAAGGAGTGTAGCTGTAAAAAATCATCAAAATTGGAGTTAAAATAACAGTTAAATTGTGATTTTTCGTTGATAACCGTCGAAAAGTTTTGTCCTGTTACTTGATTTCTAAATGTTTCTTTTTTGCAATTTCTGGCGTATACGATCTTGAGGCATATACAAACAAATTTAATGGTTGGATCTTTAAAATTAGTTTCGTAGAATGCGTATCCCATCAAAACGATAGATTCACTAACACTTAAAGTTTATTTATACTTTCATTAAGTATAACATAAGATTTTGTGGTATCCACTAGTGTAAGTATTTTAAATTGAAGATCGAATTCATTCATTGTATTCATATAGGGTCAAGGAGTGTAGCTGTAAAAAATCATCAAAATCGGAGTTAAAATAACCGTTAAATTGTGATTTTTCATTTATAACCGTCGAAAAGTTTTGTCCTGTTACTTAATCTCTGAATGTTTGTTTTTTGCAATTTTTGGTGTATGCGATCTCAAAGTATGTACAAACATGTTTGACGGTTGGATCATTGAAACTAGTTTCGTACAATGCGTATCCCATCAAAACAATAGATTCACTAATACTTGAGAGTTTATTCATACTTTCATTAAGTATAACATAAGATTTTGTGGTATCCACTAGTGTAAATATTTTAAATTGAAGATCGAGTTCATTCATTGTATTCATATAGGGTCAAGGAGTATAGTTGTAAAAAATCATCACAATCGAAGTTAAAATAACAGTTAAATCGTGATTTTTCGTTGATAACAGTCAAAAAGTTTTGTCCCGTTACTTGATCTCTGAATGTTTGTTTTTTTGCGATTTTTTGCTTATGCGATCTCGAAGCATATACAAACAAGTTTGACGGTTGGATAATTGAAATTAATTTCGTAAAATTCGTATCTCATCAAGTTCAATGGTATATACATATAGTAGATTTAAATTTATTTATTTTGTACATATAACATTTAAGAAATTGAATGATATGTATATTTAAGCCGATCCAATGGTCATCAATTTTTAAATTTAATATAATATATATAATTATTATAGCATTTTTTTAGGGTTATAAAATTATAAAATTAATATTTTGCTTATCACCAACCTGTTATCTTAACAGGTGCTTATCGGGTTACCCAATAACGACCTGATTCGTTATCGTATCGATCCGAACACCTGTTAATTACTTGAGGCCAAAAAGTCCAAAAAAGAATTTGGATCTCATCTGGATCCAAATTGTGGAGATTCTAGAGATTTTCACATTATAGAAATTCATCGCATATCGTAAGGTTAGAAATCGTTTGACTTTTTTTTTTTAAATTAAAAATAAATAGTATTTGACGAAAACTAACCACATAATGTACGATGAAATATTAAAATGTAAAGATTCATAGGATTCCTACAAAAAGAATCTGGTGAGAATGCTCATCCGTCCAAAAGAAACACAAATCCACCCACCAAATAATTAGACGACAGCACGTTTCGTTCAACTAATTCTGTGCCAAACTATTCACAAGAAATCTCATCATATCTGAAAGGCGCCAACTCATTGACATATTTTTAATTAGCTTATCATCTGATTATCCTTACTAAAAATATAAATAAATATCACTTAGCTTGTTCATCAATCGATCCTTACTTAAAATTTATGTAATATATAAATATATATTAGTCTCACTAAGGACTAGGTTCAGCACGATAATGACTCAAAACCTAATCGTAGAACAATCCGAATGCTTCCACTCGTAATTTCCAATCACATAAAATAAAATAATAATTAGGTCACACATTTAGATAAAGTTTATCAACTTTTTGAAAAAAAATACAAACCATCTGTTCCATTCGGAATGTCTGCCATCTACTTTTGATGCCCTTTCATATCATTTTGTTTGTGTGATCACGGTTAAGTCACGTTAACATTTTATATTACTATTTATTTTTTTCTTATTATCTCTATAAAAAATAATATAAAATATTAACGTGATTTAACGGTGACCGCACAAAACATGAAGGCACAGAAGGGCACCGAAAATGAGAGGGTAAACAATTCTTGTCCTCTTTTCCTACTCTCATTCGCAGAAAAGTAGTAATGTCACTGGTATAAAATATCAATCTCCCTTGAAGAGCAAAGATTGTTTTGATTACTTGAAGAATAATGTTTGGAATATTAATTTTTTAAAATTAAATTTACAAATTAAATGATGTGATTGTAGATAATTGGATTATTAATTAAGTGTCAAGTAACGTGCTTGTTTTGGTTTGTAATTTTGTTTAAAAAAATTGTTCTCCCTATCATTACTCTTAGGGCTGGTTTACTATTCCGTAATCAAAATGAAGGGAATTGAATTGAGGAAGAATTGGATTGAGAAGGAATTTGATTGAGAGGGAATTGAAATGGAGTGGAGTTAGAATCAGATTAATGTTGAAATTGTTTACTAAAATTTCTTGAAATCGGGATAAGAATCATATTTATTTATATAAGTTGTTTACTTAAATATATGAATCGAAATGCAAACTAATGTAATTATTAAATTGCCCATATTCCAAGTATATAATGTTTATATTTTTTATATTCTTTAAAAATAAAAATAAAAACTTTGTGAAAAAACTTTAAAAAGAATTTGTACTGTTTATCAAATTGTTTCATTTTGAAATGTCAAAAAGATATTTGTGTAGTTAATATTAAAAAAACCAACTGAGAGCCCAACTTGCTTTGCTTCCCCATCCCTCAATTATTTTTCCTTCTCAACTGAGAGCCCAACTTGCTCTGCTTCCCCATCCCTCAATTATCCCCATCCCTCAATTATTTATCCTTATCCTGAAGCCCAAACTGCACCCCATCGCCCAATCTTTTCAGCACCCCATTCCCCAATTCTTTTCAGCTTCTCCATCTCCTTTCTCCCTCTTCTTCTTCTTCTCTTCTGACTTTTCTTCTCCTTTGATATTGGTCACTGCCCGCCGAGACACAGAGAAGCAGAGAAAGAGGTGGAAGGGAGACGAGATAAGGGTATTTTGGGTAGAAAAAAGGAATTCCGGACAGATAGAGGCTTGTTGTTCTGGAAACTGATTCCGGGTATATTAGAAGTCTGATTCCGGGTATATTGGGAGTCTGATTCCCCATATTAGTAGGGTTCCACATACATTTCATTACCTCAACTGTCGGTAAACTCTTGAACAACCTGGGAGGGGTGCAATTCTCATTCCTCTTGTCTCCTATTTAAGCTCAAGCTGTGCACTAAAGGCTAAAGCCATTGCTACCCGCCTACCATGAGCTCAAAGCCACATGCTGCCATACTTTGCAGCCCAGGCCTGGGCCACCTCATCCCCGTCCTCGAGCTCGCAAAACGACTTGTCACCCACCGGAACTTCACCGTGACGATCTTTGCCATCCCATCTCCTACCTCCAAAGCTGAGTCTGAGCTCCTCAAGGCAGCCACCACCCCCAAATTCTGTGACATTGTTGAACTCCCACCGCCCGACATTTCCGGCTGTGTTGGCCCCGATGCTGCTGTCGTTACACTCCTTGCAGTCATGATGCGTGAAGTACGACCTGCGTTTCGGTCAGCCATACTTGGCATCAAGCCTCCTCTTCGTCCTACCGTGCTTATCGTGGACCTCTTCAGCACCGAATCTCTGTCCATCGGCGACGAGCTAGGGATTCCCAAGTACGTTTTCATTGCTTGCAATGCATGGTTCCTAGCGTTGACAGTTTACGTGCGAGTTCTTGATAAGGAAGTGGAAGGAGAGTATGTGGACCAGACTGAACCGCTGAGAATTCCAGGTTGCAAGCCGGTTCGGCCCGAAGACGTCGTAGACCCGATGCTGGACCGGACTGACCAACAATATTTGGAATACGTAAGGATAGGTTCTAATTTCCCCAAGAGTGATGGGATTTTGATAAATACATGGGAGGACTTGCAGCACGAAACATTAGATGCATTCCGGGATGAGAGACTCCTGGGTGGGGTGGCTAAGGTGCCGGTTTATCCTATTGGACCGTTGACGAGGCCGGTCCAATCAGGTGGTTCAGCTGGTCCAAAAGAGGAGGGCTTGTTTAATTGGCTAGACAAGCAACCTAGTGAGTCCGTGATATTTGTGTCATTAGGGAGTGGGGGGACGGTGTCTTTTGAGCAGATGACAGAAATGGCTTGGGGGTTGGAATTGAGTCAACAAAGATTCATTTGGGTTGTCCGCCCACCATCTAACTCTCCAGATGCTGCTTTTTTCACTTCAGGTAATTCTCAAACTTACCTCTTATATCATCAAATTTTATTTGTTATCTTTAAAGAAAAAGTTTATTTGTGTTATGTACTGATTTGGGGTTTAAGATTATGTTATTTACAGTATTTAATACATTATCGATGTGTTATATTTGATACTTTCACTTACATTTAGTACCTTTATTTAAGGAGATGGAGACAATGACGCATCAACCTATTTGCCCAAAGGATTCTTAACCCGGACCCGTGACGTTGGATTGGTTGTGCCTCTTTGGGTGCCTCAAGTGGACATGTTAAGTCATCCTTCAATTGGAGGGTTTTGGTCACACTGTGGGTGGAACTCAACCATCGAGAGCATCACCTATGGAGTGCCAATGATAGTTTGGCCACTATATGCGGAGCAGAGATTGAACGCTACACTGTTGACGGAGGAACTTGGTGTTGCTGTCAGATCAAAAGTGCTACCATTGAAGAAGGTGGTTGGGAGAGAAGAGATAGAGGGAATGGTGAGAAAGATCATGGTAGATAGAGATGGTCAAGCAATAAGAGATAGAGTTAAAGAGCTTAAATTGAGTGCTGCCAAAGCATTGAGCGTAGCTGGTTCTTCATATAATGCATTGTCACAAATACCGGGTGACAATCAAGGCAAATGCTAGAAGATTTGCTGAACAGGAAGGCTCTCAAATATGCTTGTTGTTTTCAACAGGCTTTTTAACTAAAATAGTCTATGAGATTGACCTAATTCGTTAATTTGATCTCTAACAATGAAAATTGATAAATCTTGTTAAAGACCAAATTAAAGAGTTAGGTCAATCTCATAGACTATTTTGACTAAAAAACATTGTCAATATTGTATGGTGAAGTATAAACATCAATAATATTTATGGTAGAATGGTGTGTATTCTCTTATTTCAGCCCATGTTTGTCGTCAGGCCAACATGATGGCACACTGTCTTGCTAAATTTGCTCTGCATTGTGGGGTTTGCATTCTTCGTTCGAAGAATCCTCAAACCTGTTGTCTGAGCTCTTTGTGCTAGAATGTAATGGTTGATTGTCTTTGTGAAGGGCGGGCCTATATATTGTCCATTCTCTATGTGTTGAGTTGTCATCAGCTTCCTTTGAATTAATGAAATTTCTATCATTGTGCTTAAAAAAAAACATGTAGAATGAATTTTATTCTTTTGTTCTCAATCACATCAATTGATCTACTCACATATCTATGTCCCATTTTAAGATAAGTATGTATTTTGTTATCATACATGGATGAATATTCATATTACATAGTTTGGTTCATTTAATTTGACTACATAATTTGATACACAAAATTTTGATTCATTTAATTACGCAATATCCTATCAATAACACGCTAAAAAGACAGTATACTAAGCTAATAGTTACACCACTAACGGGTAGTATTAAGGGTAATGTAACCAAACAAAAATTCCAACAAAATCTTTGTACGTAAGCTATTAATTTGTTTTTGTTTTGTTGGTTTGAATTTGATACAACTACTTATGCAAAAAAAAATGTATATATATATTAAAAACCGGTTTTTGCGGATTGATAAACAGGTAGGTAAGCCTGACATTTCATTTTACAACTTAAAAACGAGCGTTGTGATGAGCTCATGCGCAAATCACGTGCAGGTGCTATTGTTGAAACTGAATCTCATATTGATGAGAGGAATGACATTACATGTACTTATAAGTAGTTAGACTATTCTTCATATTGTCAATTGATTTTATAGTGGAACATCAACTTTCTTCGTAGTATTAGAACAGAATATCCCACATGTGAAACCCAACAATCACACGTGCTCCACGTCACCCGAGTTGTGTTGTCCACGTGTTAGACTTGAAAATTCGTCATACGTGATGAAGGCGTATTGAGAATGAATCTCACATTGATTAGATCAGAGATCTTGCGTGTGCTTATAAGTAGTTGGAGAAACACATAACAATGCATGATTAATGGTATTTCAAGTTAATCATGTCTTTTCATGTCGTAAAATTAGAACACGTGATTGCTGTTAATTCTAAGAATGCGGAGTGATTTGGTCGAGTTGAGTTGTAATTCGAATGTTATTTGGATTGGCGAAGCAGTTCGTCCAATGCAGTGTCCGAATTGGCAAGACCATGCGAGATCAAAGCCCCATGCCGGAAAGTTGAGACTGCGTGATAATAGGACTCGAGGCATGCACAAATAACCAATCGTCAAGGCTAACAGTCCACAGAATCCAATCATCGGTGTCATAGGTCCGATTTCTCGGTAACATTGGAAAGTAGGAATGCATCATCGATGTCTAAACAACGAAGACTTGTAAAAGAAGGAAGCAAAGTTTCCAAATAAATAATCATAAAAACGCATGGCACAAGAGATGCTACTCATCTTGATTATTGAGTCAATATGCACGTTCAGAAAGCTCACGTTTCTGATTCTCTTGGAGAGACGAGGGAGGGATGCGGCTCACACGCTTATGGGTTCAGTGGCTCTTTTCAGCCACGCCTTCTCAGATTCATCCAAGTATGGAGCCAGAATATCCTTGCATTTGGCATGGTAGGTGTTGAGCCATTCCAATTCTTCAGGTACTAAAAGACTCAAGTCGATCAACTTTCTCTGGTATGGTGCCTGGAAAGAGAATAGAACAATTCTAGATCAGCTCAACCTTTATTCCCCTCTATAAACTGAGTGAGAAAGTGTCGTAATAACGTAAATGCCAGGTCATTGGGTGACTACGTTAACTCGTGTACAAATTAAGTTCATGTCCAATGTTTATGTGCAAGTCGTCCAAACGAAAAGAAAAAGGAACGAAAAGGCATGCATAGCATGGAAATCGAACTATTTAACAGTAAGGAAAGTAATAAATTGCACAATCACATTGCATAACAGTTTATGAATTAATAGAGAAAAAAGCAAGCTTACCCAAGTTATATGCTCAAATTGTAAGTAACCCTTGTCACCGAAGTTGAATTTTGTATCAGCTTCGTTGACTATAAGCACGTTCTCCAATCTTATACCGAAATTGCCGTCCTCGTAGTATCCAGGTTCTGAAAAGTGCAGTTTCGGTGGAGTCAATTACAATTCACACAGTCCCATTCAAGAAGCTCATAATTATTCACATTCATGGATACTCAAACCAATTTATAAACCAACCATGGCCTCAAAGAGTAAGACTAATTAGCAGCAACTCGAGGAGCCATGCATGAATGACAAAAAAAATCAAGAAACATGAATACTAGAGAGCACGGATAATAAACAAAAGAATAAGAGGAAAACCTAAGCAATATCTATAAATCACGATGCATGGCAATCCTCTGGTATGTGGGATTTAATTCTTTCTTTGTTAAGTTTGAGAAAGTTCTTATACAAGCGTAAAATGAAACAAATAATATAATAATGACAACAACAATTGTTTATACTGAAACTAACCATCTGTTACAGTCATGGAAGCTTGCAGCGGGACATTTCGAGCATGTGGTCTGAAACTAATCGAATGTGGACCTGCTCAACCAGTGCAAATGGAAGTTAGAAATGAAAATTCATTTATCAGCTCAAAAACAATGCACTGGAGAGTAAAGGATGAGCAGTTGTAGTTAATATTTACCTTCATGAACATTTAGATAAGACCCAATCCCATGACCAGTACCATGTCGATAATCTAGACCACTCTTCCACAAAGGAACTCGAGCAAGAATGTCAAGGGCATGACCTGTAAAAAGATTGTGAATGTAAATGTATTCAACAATGATATACTTACAAAATTACACTTGAAAAATCTGATTAAAATTTGAAAGAACAAAAAGAAGATAAAAACAGGAAATACCATTGGTTCCATTAGGAAATCGAGCATTCCCGAGACCTATATGACCTTTGAGGACCTACAAAAGTAATGCAGCATATCAAGCTAGTTCATAGAACCCTAACATGAGTATTGACTTGAATAAATTTTGGGATAACAGTCTACACATGTAGACAGAATGGATTCAGCCGTTGTGAATCAAAGATTCAAAATTCATCTTAACACATAGAATCAAAAATAATATCTGAAAGTATTGAAATTCCATTGTGAATCTAAATTCATGACTTGTAGGTTATCAGCTGAATCTAAGGGTTCATTTAGATGGAAGGATATAAAATGGGGATTTGGATTTGAGTTTCAAGTGTAAAAAGCTAATATGGATTGTACTGGTTCATTGCATTTGCGTGGTTATTTTGTGACATGGTAAACTGAAATATTAACAAAGATAGTAATAAGCTTGGGGAAGGTGCTGAGGGTCAGGGTGGGATACGGTTGTTAAAAACTGTAGGTGGTGAGTCTGGTGACAATGAGTCATTAATAGCAGAATGAATGAACTATTACAAGACTCTTGCAATTCAAGCCACAGAAAAACAGAGTTGGGACAACAACGTTCAAATTACGATAAGCTCAACTACCAAATAACAATGTCACAAAAGAGAAGAACAAAAAGAACTTACTGCCGTATAGCATGCTTTCTCATGCGCTGAAGGTTTACCAAAATGAACCGTCCGTGTTATATCAGTTGTTCCATCAAGATACTGCAACCATGCCATCAACATTAAAAATTAAAGAAACAGAAGCATCGTGAGTAAATGATACGCTAGAACATTTAAAATGAAATTGGTCAGTAATTTTTATTAGCGGAATCTTCCATGACATTTGACAAACCTGTGCCCCAGAGTCAAAAAGATATATGCTGTCTGGATCAAACTCAGCACAAGTTTCTGCTTCCGGTGAATAATGCATGATTGCCGCATTTGGGCCAACAGACGAAATAGTAGGGAAACTTAAACCTCTAAAGTTCTGCAAATATGACAGAAAAAGAAATTCCTATCATGTCAAGCAAACTAAACATGCATGGAGGTACATAAGCATACAAGTAAACATCTAACAATAAATTGAACAGCATATTTCATTTTCTGCAACCGCTTGTTGCAAATTTTCTTTAGCGTGGAAGAGAGTTTTTACAGTCAGAACCATGATTGCAAATATACCAAATAGAAAGAACATCACATGATCCAAGAAATATATATGAGGGAAAAGCACACTTGCATCAAAGGAATTTCGCTACTATCATGTTGGATTTTCGTATTAAAAGTTCACACTACCTCTTTTGATGCTCGAAAGCCCTCCAGCTTATCACTTACAGTCACCTCGGTTAGCTTTGTAGTTTTCCTGTCATAGTTCATTCAATTCAATCAACATGCAAACATATTATAGAATTATAAAAATTTGTGCAACTCAGAGTTTATTAAGCAACTAAAATATTAAATTAAGCATAGAACAGTATAAGGCATCAACTGTCTGAAAGTCCATAGAATGGATGATCATTAACTGCGATTGGACAAAAGCAGTTCTATGTGTGATTTTCACATCTTGCTGACATCATAAATCATACTATATCAAGATCATAATGCATCTCATCCACACAATGAGAGGTATGAAATTCAACAAGGAGACTCAAACTTACAAGTGGTTTTTCTTATCTGTTGCCTCCCCCTCCAAAAAGAAACCAGAAGCCCCATATATCTCCTGCGCCTGCATTTTTATTACACAAGCTCAAGCATTAGTTCAGGCCTTTCATATTGCTGCAAATCTAGGAAACTAAACGCATCAAAATCTGGAAAACATATAGAATAGAAACTAAGAAAATATTGTTTAGAAATTTAAAGATATTAAGATAACATGCGTATCACAATGTACCTGCTTATCAAACCACACAAGATATTGCACAACAGCTGCACCATCCCGGATATGAGCTTTCTTTAACCCTTCCAATTCGACCGGGTTCTAAAATTTTAGAGCAATCAGTTGATAAGGAAAAAAAATGAATAGAATAAAATCACTGGCACAACTATCAGAAACAAATTGCTATCTCCACAAGATAGGAAGTGCAGCATGCTACCTTTAGAGCTTTTGCTAGGGCCAAAGGCGACTGCTGTAAAATAACTTTTTCAGGGTTCAGTCTTGAATACAAAGCATAACAGCATGAACCAGGGTCAGCCCATATGAGGTCATTATCTGTTTCTTCTGCTTTGTTTCCACCATTAGCCTTTTCAGCTTCAGTTCCTTTAACTGTAGATGAAGGTTTGAGCTGATTAGACGCAAGCAAGGCAACATCCGAGCTCACTGCTTTATAGTCCCGGACATCAATCCCATTTTCTTCCAAATAAGAGTTTACCTGCATATCGAGTGAATTTGTCAGATACGTCTACTAAACCGATTAACTGCTCATGCTCACTCTAGCATTCTAACATGGAAAAAAGGATATACGAAAAAGAAATGGGGGACAGCATAATTTTGTCCAAAGGGTACAATTACTGTTATCAGTTAAAGACACAAAAATTGGTGATGGCAAATAGTAAATGCATCTATTATTACCGGTGGCTTGATAACTTCAAGCCAATATTCACTGCCTTATGAAGGTTGCTTAATAAGATGATATGTGTGTGTGTATTATTTATGATAGTATATCAACTGTGTATGGTTTAACTGACCTCAGCGGAAACCTTCATTTTGTCAACATAAAAGAAAGCCGAGTTGGATGTCACGATAGCAAATGCATGAACAACTGGACTGTAGGCAACATCAGTGCCACGAATATTATACAACCAAGCAACCTGTAGAGTAGCAATTAAATTGAGATACCGCATGACAAAATCAAAAGTAAAGTAGGATGCCACATGAAGCAACACACCAAACAGACTAACCTCATCAAGCGCTGAGATAATTATACCACGAGTGTTCCCTTGTACGATTTTTTGTCTTAAATCCTTCAACTTATCCACAACAGAACGACCAGCATATTCCAAAGGATGTACAATGACGGGATTAATTTCCACAGGGGGCCGATTTTTCCAAACTTCGTCCACCAAATTTGTGGAAGTCTGAACCAACTTCTGTCGTTTCTTGGCAAAGGCACGCTCCCATAGTTGCACGGTGTTTATTGACGTGCACCAAGGATCAATACCAATGGCTGAACCTTCAGGAAGATTCTACAAAAACAAATCCCAAAATTCACTACAGCGGCAAACAAGAATCCACAAAGTCACAGGTAATTTAACTGGAGTCATCATTTAGAACCAACTTGTAATTTAATGCCGGCGTCGATACAAAAAGGTCCAAAATACTGAAAATACAACATTGAAAATAATAACAGGAGTTACTCAAAGAAGCAGTGACTCACATTTGCCATCCAGACATCGACAGTCGGGTCTTCTCCCATTCGCATAAGCTGCCACTGGTCACTGAGTTCCTGCGTTGCCTGCAAAAAGTACCGACCATCGGTCCATAGCCGCGCTTCATTCTTCGTTATAAGTGCCAAACCTGAACACAATTCAACACACAATTTAACACAACATTAAAAGCTTCAAAATTCAACTTAAAGCAATCAAATTTAGACAGCAGCATCCTTAAACAACATCACAATACTAACCAGCACTCCCGGTGAAGCCGGAAACGAACTCACGCCGTTTGTCTCGTGCCGAAACATACTCACTCTGCAATTACAACACAAACATCACTCCCAACATCCTTAAAAGTAAATGTTAAAAATAAAATAAATAAATAAAAACGCAAAATTTCGAAATTACAATTGAAAAGTTCCAATCTTGATAAAGGAACAGATAACATGAGTAAAATCGAAAATTTTTGGATACAAGATTTCATCGATACAACGTTAAAAATCGAGTGACAAGGGCATATTTAAAATTGACAAATTGAGACAGACCTGGTGATAATCTTCAGAAGGGACGACCAAGGCGTCGAGAGGCGGAGAGTGGCACGCCATTAGAGACCTCAGAGCGGCGAGAGTGTCCGCCATATTTGTTTTTCGGCGACGAATTTGGAATCGTCGAAAAAACGAAGAGAGAGTGAATGCGAGAGTGAATCTGAACAATGTAGTTTGCTTTCGAGGTCCGACTTTAAAACGATGTTGCAAGTCGTTGAAGTCTGCGTTCCGAGTTTCCGGAAATGTCCCTGTCGCTACTCCTTCGGTCCTCGTAAATTATAGTATGTTTTGTCGCTTAAGGTAGGGTTAAAAATGTCATTACGGAGAAAAAGCGTGGGTAAAGTTGTCTCACAAAATAACGATTTCTGATCCTTTATTCAAGAAATATTTAATTTAATTAAAATTTACAGGAAAAGAGTTCCGAACTTACATGTATAAAGGATTATTCTGCTCAAGTTAACTTGATTACGACGAAGGCTATTCGTATTATATTTTATGTTGCAACGATAAGTATCAACGGATTTACCAATGAAGCCAAGATCAATGTGTTTTGATGAATTGTCCTAAACTACACTACTAAATTATGTTGGATTGTATCGTCGCTAACATTTTGGTATTGGATTGTATCGTTGCTAACATTTTGGTATTGTGCCAAAGGTTGAACAACTTGTGTTGCTTTTGGTGTTCAACTAGATAGGTTTTGAATTGTCGTATTTTTTATATTCTTTTAACAGAACGTTCGTTTTTTATTAAGAAAATGACACACTAATAACACAGCCGATGTCTATCATCTTGTCCGAAAATCGAATAACGAAGTACACTTACCCGAGGCAATCACGGTTAGATTTTCTCTACACCAAGAAACATTCCTACATTGATGATTGCTTGTAGTTACAGATTTGCACACAAGAAAAGCCAACTGCTCCTCGCAGCAAAGTCAGTACTTATTGTTCTCAACCAGTATTCATCAACACCAATCGTAACCAATGTGCGAATTTTATTGATATGTCAAGTGCTAACAGAATTACATGTTTTCGAACCGAAAGTATACAATATGACACACCCCACAAATTCACAAATTATTGGACAACAATCAAGGAAAGAACAAATTAAAAACCTTTACATCTTTCTGAACGTATATAACAACTCGAAGTGAAGCGATAAGAAAGAACTAACATCGACATAGGTAACAAGAGAATGCCAAGAACGATCGCAGAAGGAATACATTTAGATCGACAAACAGAACAGGAAAATAATGGCAAGGAAATATGCTAAAATTCGGAAATCACTATCAAGCGGCAAGTTTCTTGACTACTGATGCCATATACTTCCCCTGATGCTCTGCAAGAGCCAACTCAGTTTCACTTGCGCCTCTTGTGCCGTCACCAGCAAAGACACCAGCGCCATACGGAGAACCCCCTCTTACAGAGTCCATCTTAAACATGCCAGCTCCAAAAGTATACCCAACGGGAACAAACAGCATTCCGTGGTGTGCTAATTGGGTGATTGCCGTCCATCTGTGACAAAATAGCAGAACACAAGTCTTAATAAAATTTCTCATCAATTTACATCAACCTTTCAAGGCTGAGCAGTAACTTCAACCAAATGATGCATCCGATACTATAAAACTGAGGTAATTAGTAACAAGGTGCTTCTGCTTCAGATTGTTTGCGACAAATAGCCCAAAACTAAAATAACCATACAAAGAAACAAGCTTTATGCATCCTATAGTGTAACATTTTACTCTAAAACAAATTTGAAAGTTTAATCCCGAAAAAAAATGGAAAAATCATTTCTTCAAATGCATATTGGAACAATGCTACCCAAAAACCCAACCTTTACTAATCTGATTTCGAATTAAACAACAATTTCACCAACTCAAACACTACCATCCATAAAAATTATTAATTTCATGTCAATTGCGCAGATAAAACCGATAAACCTTCATTTGGGCAACAATGATCTCCATTAATCTTCACAAATTATTAATTAACAAAGCATAAAAACCCAATTTTGCAAACCATATGAGAAACCAACCAAACAATTCAACTCCCAATTCAACTTCTTAGCTTTTTTAATTTCATAAAAGAAGTTTAGAATTGAGAAATGAGGCAAAAGCTTACAGAGTGGTTTCTTGGCCGCCGCCCTGAGTCCCGGTGCTGACAAAGAACCCACCAGGCTTCCCAGCCAGGGTCTGCTCCTTCCACAGCTGCCCGGTCGAGTCGAAAAACGCCTTCATCTGCGCCGCCATGCTCCCGAACCTCGTCGGAAACCCAAACAAAACCCCGTCCGCCCCCACTAGCTCTGCCGCCGAAATCTCCGGAATTTCATGGTCCTTGGGCGGCGCCTTCATCGCCTCCAAAACCTCAGCTGGAAGCGTCTCGGGCACCCGGTACAGCACCCCCTCCGCCCCCTCCACGCCGTCAACCCCCTTCTTCATCCGCCTGGCCAGCTCCTCCACGTGTCCGTACATTGAGTAGAACACTATGAATATCCTCAATTTCGTAACCGGGCCCGGATTCGGGTGCGATTCGGCGACGACAGAAACGTTGTTTGGCTTGGTAGCGGAACTGGGAGTGCCGCCGGTGGAAGCCGGCGCCGGGCTTCGCGAGGCATTATTGGCGGTGTCGGGAATTGGTGCGGCATCGGAGAGGACTTTCTTCTTGCTTGGGACACAGCCCCCGCCTTTCCCCATCGAGAATAACGATATTACTCACTGCGGATAAGAGGTAGTTGCACCGGAATCCAAACACCGGTTTTCAAATTTCGAGCTTTCGGGTGTTGTTCAGTTGCAGTTGAGCGCAGAGTCGAGAGCTGTGAAAGTAAAACCGGCCGGATGGGAGGACTCTTATATTTGGCTGCAATCCTATGACTGCTTATGTATGTACCTACGTGTGCATCTGAATATTTTCTGTTTATCAGACGACACGTGTCCATTTAAAACAAACATGGCGTCGACCGAGTCTCGCGGGGCCGCCACCCACCGCTTAATCAAACCATATGACTAATTATCTTTATCATCTTTGAAGAATTTTTTTGGTGTTATCATTACAACGATCGCATGATGTATCATTTACGCGCTGTAATATGGATGAATCGCTATTGTTGACGGTGTTTTGGATTTTTATAAATGAATTAGCGATCGTTTGATAACCATTCTTTTTTAATTTTTCGAAAACTTAAAAAATGAATACTCGTTTTAGTTACTTTAGTTTTTAAGAAAAATGAAAACTGAAAACCAAAATGTAAATGCAAAAATTGAAAACCAAATGACTGCTAGGCGACCCCTAAATCATGTACAGATGCTAAAGTTATGTCAAAATTTATGTCAAGTCTAAAAGTGTTATAACAAAATTAGATAGATAAAACAATATCATGTGATCGTATGACTGTTTTATTCTTGAATTTTATCGTTATTTATTTTATTGTAATGATGAAAACATTTGAAGGAACGAGGTAAGGGAGTTTGGAATTAGGCACAAAAGCATCTTTCGGAGCTTGGCCTTAGCCAGTCATCGTTCAAAAATCATGTACGACCTACCTACCACTATCTATATAATAAGTCGTTAAACATGATTAATTAAGATAATAGTGACGTATGGGCGTTTTGTCGCAGGGAGCAGCCCCATAAAATTCCAACGTATGTTAGCACCGATTTAATTGACGTTGACAATTTATTGAAGGAAGAATCTAAAAGACAAGGGGAGAAATTTGATTTTACACGTATAGAAAATTAGAAATAGAGAAAAACAAGAGGGAATAGTCAAAATAAAGAAAAATAAAATCATTAATTAAATAAATAAAAAAATAGAGCTGTTTAGGGGAGGTTTATCATTTGGACAAGTTAACTGCCTATCAGCGTGGTCAGGACTCGAACACAAGGACCTATACCACAACGAAGAAATTTCCAGTCCGGAAACCCAATGCAGTCGGATGAGTTCACAACAACGGAAAACACGTTTGATCGACGGAGCTGTAGCTGTTCGATCGACGGGATCACAATTATACTACGAGAAAATTAAATATCAATGCAAATTCATATAACGAAACACGCAAAACAGCCGCCGGACATTTTTACCCCTCCGGGGAAAGCCGCCAGGCTACAAAGGGATCTCGGCTTGCACATAGTAATTCAAGATGTTACTATTATGAAGTCCAAACACCTGTCAATTGAAATTAACAAAGATTCAAACAGAGTTAAGAATTTGATCACCAACTGTAAGACACCGGATGTTACTCTAAAGAGTGCATTTAGTACCTGTCAATTGAAATTCACACACAGATCGAAACGAAGTTATACAGCACTGGAAAGTTGCTCTAAGAAGAGCAATTCAAACTCCTGACGATGGTACTTCTACAATTTTCAGCAGACTACATCTACAAGTCATTAGAATTGTGTGCTAAGTTCACACCTCACTTCGGATTCCTAAGAACGATGATAACAGAGTCCCCACGGAGAAACATCTTGCTGATGAACCTGTCTTTGTTAACCGGCTGGGCCTTTTTCTTGCCTTTTCCAGTCCTCGGCACCTACATAGACAAATAAACAATTAAAAAAAATTAGCGATAAGTAACATAGCATTGATGATCGATGATCAACAACCACAAGCTGTATCCCAATGAAATCAAAACGCAAAAGAACCAACCGAAAATACCTCAGTCCACATCTCCCTGACATTTTCCAGAACCATGTTGCAATGCCTGTCAAATGCTCTCACACGGCCAAGAAGCTTTCGGTTGTTACGGCAATTGATGAGCACCTGTTTGCACGACAAGAACCAAATTGAATAAGAATACTTGCCCTTGATATGTAAAGCCTTTCTGGACAAAGAACCATAAGATTCTCAGAAAGCATTACCTGAGTATTATTTTTTACACTCATCATAAGGACAGAAAGTGGCCCTGTGTTGAATTCCTCTTCCTCGTTCTTGGCACCCTGCAGCATTCAGGTTCGATAAGCATGTTTACACAAAATGATGATACCACTAAGAATAAATATGTTGATTTAGGGCTTTCAGAAATGAGCAGGACAATGGACACGTGAGACCATGTCATTTAGCAAGAGAGGTCACTCTCAAACATTTAGTCACGATGATTTCATTGCAGGAACAAGAAGTCAATAGTTGCTAGAAAGTTTATGTGAAGACCCTAAAGAAATACACAGACCATTTGAACCATAACACAATTAAAAATTAAAATTTCATTTGATAATTACGGGTGTGTCGATGCATTGAACCAAAAAATGACTATTTGATGTGCAACAAGAGTATGGACTCACACTGTTTCCATGAAATACCATTAAGGTGGCGAAAATAGAAAAGCAACATAAAAAAGTTTAAATGTTGCAAATGGAGAATCATTAGACAATCACAGACGCACAACCATTAGATATTTCCAACTACGTACAAAGTCGCACATTCATGAAAACTAACAACATTTAATGGTACAAAGAGAGACATAACAAAGATGCACTAAATAAGCTCAAGAGCACTATAACCTACATCTTCCTCCATTGGTCGGCTGTGAAGCGAGGATGATAAACACAAAACAAAAGAAAAAGGAAAATTTGTTAGTACTTCAGAAAATAAAAGCTAAGAAGAATTGCGGTTTGACATATCAAACTAATCATTACCTCATCTCGAACAGAGGGTTTTGGGAAGTACTTAATCCAACAGCTGAACCTGGAAAGGAACAAGATATATTAAACCGAGTATTAAGTAAAAACTGAATGGCAGAAACTACTGATAGTTCTAAACAAAATGGCAACAGAAGGTAAGAAATCTAAGTAGGCACGGATCAAATATTATAAATCTACAATAGCATTACTAAAGATCTTGTAAGTTAAATAGATGTATCATGCCAAATTCAAAACTAATTCTTGCAACCATTTGATACAGCATTAAGAAAAGCAAAACTTAAGGTGCTCTGTGTTTGCTGATTCAGTTCCAACAAAGAATAGTATACTTATAATGGCCACACCATGGAGAACAAAAATTTCATCAAAAAAATAACTAAAATCAAGACAAGGTTTTCGTGAATCAAAACAGAACAAAAAATTTTAGTATTGACACAATACCATTATAATAAAATGATACAGAACAACAACAACAACAACAAAGCCTTTTCCCACTATGTGGGTCGGCTGTATGAATCCTGGAACGCCACTGCGCTCAGTTTTGTGTCGCGTTTTCTGTTAGCAATAAAATAATACAGAAGAAGATTAAAAATCTTGTGAGAATGCTCTAGTGAGGTATCCAGATTATCAACACTAAGAAGCTCGAAAAAACAAAAGTTATATCCGAAACGCCATCAGAAGCAAGATAAGTTCTTTTGCGCAACTTCAATATCCCGATAACAAACTGGAAAATCCACTAATTCAAGTTTTCAAAACATTAAATCTGTTATGTGGGCTGATTTCAATGTTGCTGAGTTAGTTTATTTACAGTCCTAGCTATCAAATTGTTCAAATTAAATTTAAAAAAAATTAAATTAAATAGAACTAACCACATCAAGGCTCTAATTATACGTAATATGTGAAAGTATATTATAATCCAACGAAGATCGAACATTACGAGAGAGACTAATTGAATCTTCAAGTAAGGAGAATACGAACAGATATTCATAAAATTAACGATAGATCATCAAAATCATCCACTAAAATTTGGATAAATTATACAGTTTTACAGGATAAAGATCCTTACCTAGTCGAACACGACGAGGGAGAAGATCTGTGCGATGGGGCTAGGACTGCGTGATAACTCCCGAGTAAGGCACAGTTAGGGTTTTTGGTTTAAGTTTACGAAAGCGCCCGATGAAAGGCGGCGTAGGGCGGTTTGGGTTTAAAAATGATTTAAGTTTGTAAAAAGCCCACACTACAGAACCCAATCAGTTTAGTGTAAGAAGGCCCAATTGGGCACCCAAACTTTGAAAATCCAACTAATAAACAAGTTACAACTGCTATGTTACAACTGCGTTGTTTTTTGTTCGATCAACATGTGTTGTATAAGTTGGTATTAACAAATTTTGGGACTGAATTTCAACGAATTGGTCTAGTGGAAAATGAGCAAAAGTTTAGAACTCAATCCGAGTTTGAACTCTCGCATATGTTTTCATTGGAGCTATCAGCTCTGTCTTAGTGTACCGTTTGCCTTGGGGCCAAAATTTAGTGGTCACCCAAAATGTCTCTGAGAAGTCTACTTCGAAGGATTCTTCTGGGGAATCCTGTGCTAATGAGAAGGCAATGCAATTGAATTGTCTTCTAACTCTGCTGGTCAAGGTCTTTCTCCTGCTACAAAGACTGCAGCTTTTTCTGCTAATGCCTAATGTATGGTGGGATTCCTCTTATTTAAAAAAAAAACGAAAAAACATATTGGGTAGACATAATTTGCAAACTAAATGATATGTCACTAATAAGAATGAACACGTTTATCAACGCTTAAGTAAATAAATCAATCATCAACCTTCATGTCCTTGCAAATAGTATAAAAGTTAGAAGTTAAAATTCCTTTGGAAAGTAAACAGTTATATATATATATATATATATATATATATATATATATATATATCTTTTGATTCCAGAATATGATTCAAATTCAGAAATTAAGTTTTGGAAATTTGAGTCTTTGCTAGACCATGAGTTCTAGGCTGTATTTTTTATGGTGATGAGTCCAGCACTTTGGAGTATTAAGATGTACTGCACTTAACATTCTAAAACTCGGAAAGGATTAATCTAACAATTGTATATGAAGCTCTGAGGAAGCTACTCAAAATTTGTTTCCAAGGCATCCGTGAATGGGTGTGTAAGTTTGAAGGAGAAAGATGAATTCTTCATGCTTGTCGTCAGTTGGGTTGGGGGACAATAGAGAGAGAAAATGTAAACATTGCCGAAAAAACAGCATAAATAATTTTGAAAAAATAAAAAAGTATATATATTTAAGAGAAATAGCAATTTCAAACAGAGTCTTAGCCGTTAATAGTCGGTTAAGATATATACATGAGTTAAAATATGGCGGTTCAGACTATTGAAAAAAGTTATTGTAGAGTTTTCAAACTCTAGGTGATAAAAGTAGGTTGCAAGTTACGATGGCCACAATTCAGCAGACTCACCAATTCAAAGTATCGAACTCGGAACCTCCCACATTTTCTTTGTCTTTTTGAAGAGCCACAGTCCGCGCCCTTACCGCTGAGCCACTTGCTGTGGCTTTTTTTGTTCACATCTCTTATTACTGAGTCCTTTTTGAGAAGTTATTACTGGGTTCTTACTAACCTAAGGTCCTAAGCCCCAACACCTTCAGAGGTTTCTTTCTCAATCGAGCTTACTGGACTCTACTCTAGTCATTTTATGTGGATGGGAACTTAAATCTGTTGTGGGTTTTTTTTTTTTTTTTTTTTTTGTTATAGTTGAGTGCTTCAAATCTTCGACCTAGTTTATTCTTACACGCTAGCATACTCAGTAGCCCAAATTGTTTAACTATTGAACACTAGGGGCACGTACGGTGGAACGGACATAGTTGAATTTGGTATTTTGAATTGGTTAGGCTAGGATTAGATAGGATAGGTTGGGTTTTATGTCTGCCATTTGGTATTTTGAACTGCTTCTGACGACCCGAAAACCGCGCTCGCGACCTATTCTCATAGTTGTACGACCGAGAGAGAGAAAGAGAGAGAGATATATATATATATATATATATATATATATGTTGGCGACAAAGAGATGTGAGGAAGATGCTAACCGGAAAGGAGGAGGCGCGATGCATTCTTAAGTAACCCATACCAACGGGTTATGAATCCGTCTAATTCTGGACTTGGATCCAAAGTAGGAATCTAATCCATGATGCTCTTTAAACGTATCAAACAACAGTCTTAGACTCAAGTCCCATTTTAAAGGCTAATAACCTTTCACATCCAGCCTACCAAACGGACCCTAATGATCTTTTTTATATACATGTGTCAAATCAAAATTTAAGTCATGTTTACTTATAAGGAAGAGTATGCTACATTTGTCACCTAATTATACCATCATTGTATCATCTCTTTAATGGAGATAGGGTCGTCTCTATTAGGGAGATGGTATAAATGATGGTACAACTAGATGGTAAGAGTAGCATTTTTGTATAAGAAATGGAATTTGAAGAAATATGTAACATTCATATTCACGTAACAACCAAATGAATAAAAAAGCCCTATATTTATTAGAGAGATGGTACAACTCGGTAGTAAATGTAGCATTTTTGTATAAAGAATGGAATTTGAAGAAATATGTATTATTCATTTTCATCTAACAACCAAATAAATAAAAAGTAAATGGGTCTCATAAATTTTGGGTATTGACATATCTGAAAAAATAAAAACATATAGATATCCCATTAATATTGGGGATTGTTTTCCTCACATTCAATTATTTTAATTTCTCATTTAATTTGGGTTAAGCATGCCCTTATGTGTAAAAAGAAATAAGTCATCACATAGGTTCCAAATATTTCATGCCTCTCTTATCTATACAGGGTTAGTCTTTTTATCATTTTCATCTATATATTATATTTTTCTCAAAACCTCTAAGTCTTTTCTCTCACCAAGATTAGCATCCTAGTCCTACAAGTTGTAAATGGGCATGGGCTAGTTTAAATTCTTTAAGGTCATTTCTAACCAAGGGCTGGCCAGATGACTCGTTTTAGCCTTCTGGCCCTCCAAGATATTAATATTTTAATGAACAGTACAGAGTCATATTTGCCTTCATCTCCAATTGAGGGCCGTATGGCTCGTTTTAGCCCTGTCACAAAAAACCGTCTCCAAGCGAAGGCCAAACATAATTTATTATTTAAATTTAAAAATAACAACAACTTAAATTTAAAAACTACAACTTATATTTAAAAACTAAAAATTAAATTTAAAAACAACATTAACTTAAATTTAAAAACTACAAAAACTTAAATTTAATATCCATAATCAACATCATCTTCATTATCTACCATTGTAATAGTCAAAGGTAAACAACTGCCACTGGATCATAATTTCTTTTTTTTTTTCCCTATCAAAATAGGTCTTACTCATTGGAGTGTAACTTATAGTGTTCCTTTCCATATTCTTATCATCCATCTCTTCATGTATTTGTTTGGCCCGTTCATCATGTCTACGGTTCCTTTCTTCCGCGACAATGGCATTTTGCTCCACCAGTAATCGCAATGAGGCCGCCACTTCCTATTGAGCGGCGTAATCATCATTTGCCTTGCCCTTTTCCTTCAACCTTTGGGCCTTGTTTCGTCCCATAGCCCTAGGTAAGGAACCTTTGTCCGGAGATGGATTTTCTACCCTTGTTTGTTGAATGGTAGGAGATTCATCTTCATCCATATCTATAGCTGGGGATGAAGTTCTGAACACCAGTGTATGACCTACTCTATGTTGAGGTGAATCTTCAAATAACACCCACCCTTTACAAATTTCCCAACAACAGTGAAACTGAAAGGGTTTTGAGCTGCCCTCCATATACAATTCCTCTGCTTGGCGTACCTAGAAAGTATAATTACAAAAATTAAAGGAAATTAATTTATGAAATTAAATGTAATATAATTAAACATTTAAAATAAACTGTGAAAATACTAACTTCATCGTAGTAATTGGCGCCGCTTTCATGTCTACTTGCGGATGCTAACAGTGCTTGATGTCATTTATTCAAACTTGGATGAAGATGTTTCTTCCATCTTGAAGAACAACTCTCGTGGTTTTGGGTATTTGGTGGAATGGTGCCTTCGTAAAACTCGAAGTATTTTTTGGACACACGAGTCCAAACACCTTCACTTGTTTGAGAAATCCCCCTCACATTATCTTCCGATACCCATCTATAAGTCCTTCAAAGAGCTTCATCTTCTTTTCGGGTCCAAGCCCTACCTTTCATTGCAGATGAAGCCATTTGAAAATTATTGAAAAAATTGAAGGAAATATTATTGGAAGAGGTAAGAAAATATAATGTGAAGAATTGAAATAGAATGAAGTGAGATAGTATGGAATGGTGAAAATTATGTGAGAAATGGTGTATGAATGACTTAGGTATTTATAGGGAAAAAAAGGTTTTAATTCATTAAAAAAAAAAATTGAATACAATGGCTAGTTGACTTCAGCTAGCCGTTGTATTCAAATTTTTGCCTACTATTCGTGTCGGTTATAACCTGCTTTTATTCTTGTCGGTTATATCTGACAGCATTAGTCAAAATTTTGGACCAGCCCGGGCCTGGCTGCTTGGCTGGAATGGGCCAGCCGGTTGGTCCTTTGGCCCTTTCAAATTTTGTGTGGCCCACGAGCCATCTGGTCTAGCCCTCAGTTGTAGACGATTTTCGGGCAATTTTCGACCATCTGGACCATTCGGTTGGAGATGGCCTAAGAAATAAGCGACTACCTACTTTCTTTGTGCATTCCTAATCTCCTAGTTTTGGTTATAACTTTTGATTTTATTTATTCAGTTCAATCCCACAAGTAAAACAGAATAGCGGAGAAAGAATGCAAAGGAGATTCTTTTTTTATTGTTTCTTGAATCACTGCTATACATGACTCATAGCAGCCCACGTCATAGAAAGTTTGCCAATCAAGCATGTGGATATGATCAGCATAGCCTTTGTAGGCACATTGACCTTACTAGATATGCCCTACTTTTATTTTGGAAGCAAAATGACGATGTTCTCGGGCAGCATGCAGCTGCTAGCATTTGACACAGTGTCTTATATTGTCTATAAATAACCTAGCTAGTACAACTGCCTATAGTTTTATATTTCCCTCTCTTCAAAATTTAATTGGTTACCAAAACTATTCTATATATTTAAAATAAAATAGATCGTTGAAAGAATGCAGC